GATCTCATTTGACGCTCAGACTTGAGCTTCGAGGACAATATCCCCAACAATTCATTTTGTTGGTGCTCCTCCTTATTATTTCCTCAGGCCATCATGTACATTTTAGACTTCAATATTTCAGAAATATGTTTATTACCTTTCCACCGGAGGGCGCCAGTTTATTGTGTGGTTGATGACTTGATCAGACATTGTTGGTGGGGGAACTTGGTAAAGAGAAATGCAAAAACAAAACAATATATTACAATAAATGTGCACTAGTGCACTAGTTAGAGAGAAATGTATTTATTAAATAAACTCTTTTTTTTTCATAACAACTTTCATAGTACGAGAAGTTCATTTTAAATACCCTGTATGAATATTAATATTTATAATACGGTTTCTAGACAGTAGTTACTAATTAACATTACAGTAGATGAGAAAAAATCTTCAAAATATTTTAAATAAAGATTTTCAGTACAGGTCAGGCAGCAAGTGTGGACTTAGTAGACTTAATCAACGTATGGCCTTCTTTAATTGTCCTGTCTGACACATCCAGACACCCCCCCCCCCCAGTGGCACGGCGGAATGTCTGCGGACTTACAACGCTAGAATCCGGGTTTAAGTACCAGTGGTGGGCAGAGCACAAATAGCCCATTGTGTAGCTTTGTGCTTATTTACAAACAAACAAATCCCGACATTCACGTAACAATATTAACGCCCAGCGATCATGTGTTTGTACAATGATCTGTAATCCATGCTACCAAGTTAATAAGTGTGTGTGTGTGGTGCCGTGATACATATAATACATCTAATATTTTCTGCTGGTAATTCATAAGTTGGTGGTTTCATTATGATCATAACTCATTTTTTGTTAATTGTAATATATGGCATATATGAAACTATTACTCAAATGGTTATTTTCTTTGATATTGATATTTAGCCAATAAATAATTTTTGAAGCTCAAATTGAAAGTTTGAAACAGGAAACAGGGGGACTTAAATTTGTTTTAATAAAATTATCTATGGGAAACACTACATATTCAAGAATTTGACAAAATCTGTTTTACAGAGATCAAAGATGCTAGTGGCTACTAGAGAAGTTTCTAATTATTGCGAATTGAACATGAATTATTGATTTATATAGAATTAAAGGTTTTTAAGCCAACATTTTACTATTATGGTTTAATTGGATTCACCATCACGCGACATACATAGAATTAGTATTTATTAAAATTATATTATCGTTTTGCAAGCCAGATGGGAAAAATATTGATGATTTTAAACATAATTTAATTTTTTGAGTGAATATACTTCTCTGATTAAAATTTCAAAATACCTGTGTACAATAATTAATATTTAGCCGAGATGCAGTCTGTATGTCAAATATGACTTTGCAAATTTTTTTTATCATGCTTTTATATCTATATTATCCCTGTTCTGTTGGCTTTCCTGCATTCACCCTTAAGGCACGTATATATTTCTTTTAACATTTGCCATTATTAATATTCAAAAGACTCATGAGTATTATTGTAACATAAATCAAATAACAAAATAGCTTAATTACATTTCTTTATATAATGAGCCATCAATGGCAAGCTTGAGGGCTTATAACGCTTAAATTTGATGTTCGATCCCTGTGTTGGGCAACTGCACAGACACTACATTGTGAAACTTTACAACAACTGACCACTCTAACAAAACTTATTTTTCACGCTAATACATAGTTTTTCTTTCTATCAATCAAGTAGTGAAGTCCGTTGTGAGAGAATTAATATCACCCTAAAACAAATGATTTGATCAAGCACTCACAGGTCTTTGATTTTACTGTAACAACTTCCAAAATCATGATATATTTCTAGTTTTTGTGATTCATTATATCATTACTTTTATACTCACGATATACTAAATTACTTAAATTATGATATATAACTTATTAAACAGATAAAATATTTTTGATAGGTTTGTTAAAAGATCTCTGGTGGAGTCAGACATAATGGATGTAGATCACAAGAATGTTCTTAAGCAATTTGAGATTGTAAAAAAATTGTTACTCGTCAAAAATCCCAAAAATCTAATATTGCGTAGTCTAATCCCTTGACACATTTGTCCAATATATTTTACACAGATTTGTGCCTCTTTTTTAATATACCCTACATCATTAAGTGGGGACCAAATGCGAAAAATTCACTACTGTACTTTAGAATTACAAGAGACACTTATCATTAATTGTTGAAGCCAACGTTACATATGTCAGCCACTTCTGAAAATTGAAGTGACAGTTTCTAGTATTTTAAAATAATCAAGTAGAGATGAACCGGGTAACATCCTATTTTAAATACGAAGTAAGGATACATAAGGTAGGAAGCTGGGTGTAGATAAGCAAATAATGTACACAGTCAAATAAGCTTCATGTAGATAAACACGCAAACTGTTCTCTAGATTCAACAGATAGTGAGTTTCTTCTACATTAGCAAATAAAATGCTCTAAAGATACACCAAGTAGCGAGAATCTCCTAAATAAACAAGTCAAATTCTGTAAGGATACACTAGGTAATGAGGTTCTTTTATAAACATAAGTAAAATTATCTGAATTAAATAGTGAATTTCATCTTTACCTATCCACTTTATTTCATAGTTACATATTCGTGTATATTAAAAGATGCAGTAGGAATTTAAATACTAGAAAAATACGCCTTAAACTTTGGTTGAATTTTTAGTTGATATAGGCATCTAAGTTCGAAGAAGTTAGACCCAGAATAATTAGCTTTAGTTGTATAATAAACAGTTGCGATTCTCGCTAAGTTAGAGCTTCAAGGAAATTTTCCTGAGGTCAAAGACTGTCTGAAATATTCTTTTTTTTAGCCTAATGTGTTTGTCGTGCAGACGGGGATTGGAAGAACTACTCTGGGAGGGATTTAACAGAATATAATGCACCTATTGGAATGATGTACTGTATCCCAGACACGTAATCACATCTTTTCCTTACGCTCTGAGAAAATGTTTCTAAGAACAGCATGTTTTTTTCATTTATAGTTTTATACGTGTGTATAGATAGATACTTTAGAGTCTCAAAAAAAAAAACAAGAATAAAAATTCAGAATCTACATAACGATTGAATGTTATACCAACTAATTATAGCTAGACACAAAGTCTAAAAAATCTCTTGCCTGTCACTCGTAAAAAGGAATTTCCGATTTTCCCCGTCCCTTCAATCGTCCATGTTTATTGTTTTCACGTTGGTTTGACAGCAGCAGTACATTGGGAAATGTACTTGTCAACAACAAGCTTAAAGCATTTTTCTGACATCTTTACACCATTTAGTGGTATATTATGTGAAAGTCGGATTAACAGTTCATGATTTTCTAATTAAACCGATTTTTTATTATGTTTAAGTAGGAAATGCACCATTCTAGCAGATTAAAGAGTTTTACTATTTTATTATTTTTGAGATTGATGGCATCTTATGAGAAAAGAACTACTAAATGTTTCAAAGTATGAATGAAAAACTTGTTCTGTTGCCAAGATCAACATACAGTGTTTTTAAAACAGCAGCTTGTAGAAAGTATTAAACAGAATGTCATTCTTCTTATATTTTTTACCTCAAACATGTATAAAACTTTGCTCTTTCAATACGTTTGGTTCGACTTACGTAACTGAGAGTTAAATCATTTGACTGATGCTCGCTTATTTTTGTAACAGTCTTGTCATTCAACGTATCATATTACATGTAACAGTCTTGTTATTCAACGTATCATATTACATGTAACAGTCTTGTCATTCAACATATCATATTACATGCAACAGTCTTGTCATTCAACATATTATATTACATGTAGTAAGGCAGCAGGCAGATGAGATATTGTACTATGTTTTCTTATTAAAGCCTTATATTAATTTATAACTTTCTCGTGTTTTAGTCTCACTTAAAGTTGTGAAATTTGACTTTCAACGATATTTTTTCTATAGTTACGCATTTTTAAAAGCCTTCCGTATTTACATAACTAAATAAAATATTTTGTTTATATAGTTCTTCCTATTTTATTAAATTCTAGCTATCTAAGTATTTAAGGCTAATTATAAGGAATATGGTCTTATTATCATCATAGTTTTTATGGCTATTTGTTTTGCACTTCGCGCAAAGCTGCATGAGGGCTGTCTGCTCTAGCCGTCCCTAATTTAGCAGTGTAAGACTCGAGGGAAGGCAGCTAGTTATCATCACCCACCGGCAACTCTTGGGCTACTCTTTTACCAACGAATAGTAGGATTGACTGTCACATTATAACGCCCCCCGGCTGAAAGGGCGAGCATGCTTGGCGGGACGGAGATTCGAACCCGCGACCCTCAGATTGCGAGTCGAGCGCCCTAACCACCTGGCCATGCCGGGCTTATTTGTTTCGTACCTTGACATTTGAGAAGCTATACCCCCACCAAAACTTTAGTTTTTGAACGACTTATATATGTATCTAAGACAGTCTCCACCCTTTTGAAGGTTGAGCAGAATTTTCAGAATGTAGATTGTTTTGTTACATCTGTATATAGTTTCTATATGCCCTTCAACAATGGTATTTAACTTAAAATTCAATCAAAGATATCCAACCCTAATGTTTTTTTTTCCTCTTTAATATAATCTTTTCCTGGAAAGACGTAAAAGATAATTGTTATTCTCAACAACAAGATCATTCTTTATAAAATCAGCATCATTATTTCTTTCCTAGAACTT